GACGGGTTGCATGCTTAGTTCATAGATAGTGCAATCCATGCTGGCGGAGACATGTAGAGAACTGATTGCACCCGAATGGACCATTTCTGGGTGCAAACAGATGTTGGCTGGCTGGAGCATGGTGGGCACTGGACACTTTTTCTGTCTAAGTGTATGCAGGATTTCATCCTAAGGCTACAGTCACATGCACCATCGTCTGGGGATCTCTCTGAACTTTGCAACCTCTGCCTGCATTGACTTGTACATCAGTCTAAATTTGGCATATGAGGAAAAGCCACAGCTTGAAAGCACATGGTTCCTGTTAGGTCCACATGATCTCAGTTTAAAATGTCAAGGTCCACAGTGCATCAGTGACCACAAGCAAATGTGGTGGAGTGACTTTCAGCTGGATTTATAATCCAATGGAGGAGAAGAGCTTTGCACGTGGGCATTCTTTTCCCCCAAATTCTGCAAGCTGCCCAGCTTGTAACTGGGGAACAGAGCAAATGCGATTGATAACCCAGAGCCAGGCTGGTGTGGTGAGGGCTGCAGCCTATGAGAGCAGCGGCCTGAAGAGGGGGTGGCCTGCTAGTCCCAGAGGGCCAGGAGTAGCCCACAGGCTGGAGGATCTGCCACCTGCCTGGCTTTACGGGCTTGTGCTGCAACCCTGCACACATTAGAGTTGTGCAAAAAGCAGAAAACTCCCAGAAAAAGTTTTGAATTCTAGAAGGAAACTTACCTTTTTATATGTATATCTGCACACTTGTTGCCACTGTAGAAGAAGCAGGATTCTATGATCTTCTTTCTTCTTCAGATCAGGAGGTAATGTCGCCTCTTAAACCGTGACTTACCCACCTAGAGTTATTTATTTACTTATTTTACAGGTGCCTGTGCTGAAAAGGAATATATTTCACATGCACACGCACACACACACGTGCTGCACATGCGTGCACACACACAGAATTTAATATAAGGACTTTCATAATATTTATTTATTTATTTATTTAAAACTTTTGGACTCCATCCTATACATAAAAGTCTCAGAATGGTCCAGCAACAAAGGCACAGAACATAGTATTTGCCTCCTCCAATTCAAGTGCTGAGAAGGCATCCCCACAAAGGCAAAAAGTGGGGGAAGTGGTTTACCAGGGACAGAGGCAAGGAAGCGATCGGCTCACCTGGACTTGGCACGTGGGCTTTGGAATGGAGGCACACCCAAGAAGTGGTGTCATGGTACACTTTGAAGGAGAGTTGCTCCTAGCGAAAGCCCCTGCAGCTGTACCCCGAGCAGAGCCCCGAAGTGCAGGCCACTGGGCTAATCCATGTCTAGACCCCATTCTAGCCATCCCCCCCCCCCCCACTAGGAGACCATTGTTTATAAAGTAAATGGGTCTCCTTTCAAGGCCAAGCGGCTCCCTCTTCCCCAAACCTTCCTGCATTAGCACAGGCATAGCTCAGAAGGACCTCTCGCTGCAGAGACCCTCATTCATGTTGCTGTCCCACCTTCTGTGAGAAGTGCAGCAAAACTCGGGGGAACAGGGTGGTCTAAGAGAGTTGGAAACTGACGTCTAGGTCCCTGCTCCTGAGGAGGTTTTGGGCTGTCCCTACAAGGCCTGGCTTCTCTGCATCCCGAACAAAAGTCAGGGCAATCTATTAACTGGCTTGTATTTTAAATTAGTGGAGGGCAAGCTAATGCAGTATGAACACATTCCGCAGAAAGGGTCAAGCTTTCAGTGTCAGGAGGTTGCGGGGAGGTATTGCTGTAATCGTACGGAAGAAGAGTGTTGCATAAGCAGCCTCTGATTTCAGTTTTGAAATGTTAGAGGCACTGTGAGAGCTGAAAGAAACCAAGATAAACTGTAACGGTTGAGTCGCATGCACCGTTTGAATAGCTAGAGCGATCAGAGACACTGATGAGATGGGCGGGCAGATATGCACCCAGCGCTGCGCCCAAATGCCATTGCTAGCCACTGTGACGGTCCAAAATGGGGGTGGTAGGACAGGCCCATTTGGGGCCAGCAAGGCCCAGAAACCTCCCTCATGACAGGCATGCAAGCTCGTGCCTCAGCCCCCTGAAAATGTCTGCCGGTCTTGACCATAAGGCCAAAGGAACTAGAACAAGGGATTGATGGCAGGACACAGAGAGTTTTCTCTTCCTCTTGCCTTTGTCATTGCCTTAGCAAAGAGAGGTGTGTCATCCTGTAAACCGTCACGAGAGTCATGCAATCAATCATGGTAAAGAAGAACCATAAATAAGTAAATAAATAAAATCAGAGGCCGCCTTCTACCAAGCCAGGCCATCCATCTCTCTCCCTCACTCCTGGTCAGGCTTCCCTTTTCCTCTGTTCTCCATTCCGCGCACAGATGGTTTTTCCTTGCTTTCTCCTCACCACTGCCACTGCTAGAGGGTGGCTTGTTTCTGCAGGTCCTGTGTTTCCCCAGCCCTGCCCATATTTCTGTCTTGTCCATCAATGGCCCTGGCTTGGCTGCCAAATGAGCTACACTCAGAGACGTGAGTCCACTGTTAGTAGATAGGATAACAATAATAAGAGTATTTTGGCAGCCATCTTTTTCCCTTTCTTGAATTTCTCCAGGGTAAGTGGGCCACTGCAGTGTAGTTTTTCTAAACTACCCAGGGAACTTTGGCTGTTGGGTAATATAGAAATGGAGGCGATCCGCTAACCCTGGTCAGGCCCATGCTGTCCGGAGCTGATGGACGCTGCCGTGCAAGACAGCTTTAGGGACGCAGGTTGGGAAATTTGGTATATATGAATTATTGTCATCATTCAGAGCAGTGATTGTGGTGGTGCATCTTACAAAAAGGCAGCAGAGATAGCTGAAGATGAGGGTGATAAGACAGACAGGAAAGAACTAGACAGAGTCTTGGTACAACTGCTCAGTGAGGTACCAGAAGAGAAGAATTCATCGGGCTGAAGAAAACAACTTCAAAGTGGGTGAGTAATATATTGAGCAATAGTTCTGATGCTTGGGTTTAAAACAGCTTTCCCTTGCCCAGTGCCCTTCAGATACGTTGGACCAATGATGGTGGACCCCATCCACCGGCCAACACGGTTTGCTAGAGGATGCTAGGGGTTGTGCACACATCTGGAAATCACCGTGTTGGGCAGGAAGGCTGGGTCGATTTGGGAGGAGGCAGGAAAGGAAGGAAGAGCCCATGTGAACTGTTCTGGGTTCCCAAAATGTAGGAACCCAAGCATATGGCAGAGGGCACTAATTACCCTGGATCTGATTAGATTTTAGGGGTCTGGGTGACTCAAGCAACCCAACTGCCTGCAGTGCCAAGCTGGGGTACTTCTTAACTATCAACCCAACAAGCTGGAAAAAAGGGCACAAACTGTTCCTTTGAACTTAATCAACATGGATCCTAACATGGAAATGTTTCAACTGGTATAATAAAGATAAATCAGGCATGCAACCTAAATCATGAAACGGGGTGGAAAGGAAGGCACTCTGAAGTCAAAGCCAAAAGAACTGGTGCCAAAGCCAAAACAACAAAGTGCCAAAGACCAGACTATTGTAATGCCTTTGAGTTTATGGGATTGTAAGGCCTGCAAATTCCATGATATTCAATGGATACTCCTGCCTATGGGTTCAGTTTCCCTTCTGGAAATGAGTCTTTCTGTCTCTGTCTCTGTCTCTCTGTCTTTTATTTATAGTGATATGAAAGGAAGCATGCAGGGTATTCCCCCTTGTCTTGGTGCTGCCCCCTTTCCTCCAGCTGCTGACCATTTGAAGTCTTCCTGGCTTCGGTGTAGGTTTCATCCCCCATTCTACATGGTCAAATTCTAAGGCTCAATTACTGGAATTACAAAATTGAAGGTAATAGCTGCCCGTCATTTTGCCCCACCCCCCGTGCCCTCAGCCCCGCCCACCTCTGGCATGCAGCTTCCAAAGCAGGGAATGCCTTCAAACAGGGGACGCTTGAAGCGAGCACATGGCCGATCCATGGATGGTCACAGCAAGGGACCTTTAAGTCAAAAGGTGCAGGGTTGGAGTGGGCTAAAGACTCAAGCTGTCAAGCTTCACTTCAGAATTGACTGTAACACAACTTACAGCCAAAGAAGGCACAGCAAGAGAGCTCTGGATTGAGAGTTTGCCCGGGAACGCTGCTTCCTGGGTTTCTCCTAGCCTTGTTTCCTGAGTTTTCCATATGGTAACCAAAAGGAGGAAATGCATCATCAGAAAAGAAGACAAAGAAGGACAGTGATGTCATAAAATGAATATGCTGATGTATATGTATGCATGCGAATTTAAAAATTGTAACACAAATGAAGTACATCTAACCATAGTGTGGATGACTGAGATCGGGTGACTTTTGCAGCTGCCCATTCAGGTGCCAAATGTAGATTTGCAGGCCTCTTTCTTGTTCTTTATCCTGAGACTGGAATTGGAAATGACAGTCCTTCGAATTAGAGGATGGTCCTTGTAAAAAGGGACACATGAGCTCCCCAGTTCTCTAGGCTGCACTTCCTCAATGTGGGCACTGTTACCGTAGCAATTGTAAAATTGCAAATGCTTGCGCTGTGATTATGAGAGCGTTGTTAGTATTAGAGAAACAAATAGGCCATCAGTGTAAGAGTATTTATTAGGAACTGGTAACAGTTGATATCTTGATTATTGCCTCTACTTACTGTGAACTAACCCCCTCAAACCGCAGTTCTGCCTTCCTTAAACCTAAAAAGTAAGTGCCCATAGTTAAAGAGTTTTATTCTAATCATAATCCCTTCTGAAGAGGTCTGTTTGCAAGAGTAAGGCAGATTTTAATTTGGAATTCAAGCCAGACATTCAAGTTTCACATGTCCATTGTGAAATATGGCGTTAGAACTGGGATTGTATCTCAAAACTAACAACCTGGACTTCTCTCCCGACACACGTGCAACAGCAAATTCATTTATTTAAGAGCATGCCTGTTTGTTTCATTTCTGTTCTAACATCATCAGGGTTTTGTGTGGCTGCTTTTTGTTTGTAGGCCAAAGCACCGAAAGGTTTGCTGTGAAGGGATGGATCCCTCCGCCGCCTTTGCAGATGACCAGGCAGTTCACAGCTTCAGCTGGAATGAAAGCTGGTCCATGGGCCCTTCCTTAAATACTACCCACATCTCCTGGGCGATGAAAATGTTCTCCATGGCCATTTTCAGCATCACGTTTCTCTTGGGGGCCACGGGGAATGGCCTGGTTATCTACGTCACTGGTTTCCACATGAAGAAGACCGTCACCACCATATGGTATCTCAATTTGGCTGTGGCGGATTTCATCTTTGCCATTTGCCTCTCCCTGGACATAACCTATATGGCCTTGGGTCACTGGCCTCTGGGGAGAGTGATGTGCAAGCTGGACACTGTAGTGCCTTTCCTGAACATGTTTGCCAGCGTCTTCTTCCTGACAGCCATCAGTGCCGACCGCTATGTTTCCGTGGTACACCCAGTCTGGGCCTTGAACCACCGCACCCTCCGGCTCGCGTCCCTCATGGCTGCTGTCATCTGGGCCATGGCCTTGGGCCTCAGCTCCCCCTACTTCACCTTCCGTGACACAGAGCAATCCTTGGATGGCAAAGTACTCTGCACCTACACGTTTGGTCCCGAGGATGCTACTGATCCGAAGGAACACCGTTCAGTGGTAGCTACCGAACTGGTGCTCGGCTTTGTCATCCCCTTCAACGTCATTCTGGCCTGCTACTGTGCCATTATTGTTAAGCTCAAGGGGAAGCTCTTGGGCCGAGTTGGCAGGTCCTTCAGGATCATAGTCGCCATCGTGGTGGCCTTCTTCTGCTGCTGGTTCCCCTACCATGTCTTCTCCATCCTTGAAACGCTGGATGATGACAGCCTGGAAATGAAATACATCCTGGACATAGGTCTGCCACTGGCTTACGGCCTCATCTGCCTCAACAGCTGCCTGAATCCCCTCTTGTACGCCTTCCTCGGGCTGGACTGTAGAAAGTCTGGCTTGCACTCACCCCTGTCTGCCTTCAAGGGGGCCTTCAGTGAGAACTGGGCCACAGCCTCTTTCTCCAGCCACAGGAGCACCAGCTCCACCTCAGGAGTGGAGTCCAGCCTGGTCTGACTGGCCCTTCCCTGCCTTCAGCGGGCCCACGTGCATTCTGTGCGCTGGACCACCACGTCTCAAGGATGCCCCATGCCAGATCTGGCAAACAAAATGCCTCGTGAGAGATGTGGGAAAGAGTTGTTCCTGTGGCCGCAGGCAGACTCTGGCAGTCCCTCCAGGAGGACGCCTGTAACACCCAGTGGGCCAATTTGCACGATCGTGCATCAGCGGCTGCGGAGGAGGGGCAAGAACGAACGACCGTGGTTTCCCCCACAGCCGTGCATGCCTGCCGCATGTCAGGGAGATTACAGAATTACCCTTGTCTCATCAGGCGCATTCGGCATGGTTGCGACTCACGTGTGGTTTTTCCCTCGTACGCAGTCACGCTCTCTCTCCGCTATCAGCTAAGAGGCTCAGACCTTCCCACCCCAGCCGCCCTTGCATGTGCCTGGCTGGTTTGTTCTATTCCAGACCATCCATGTTTATTCTGCTGCATTGTTTATTGACTTTTAGCTCTATATTACTGGCACTTGTTATCAGTTATCTTTTAAAATATATGTATTATCCATGATGTGTGATTTTATTTGCTTTGTGGTCATTAGCCACGTTGAGCACTAAGTATGGGGAAAATGCAGGCGCTTACAGGTACCATTGCGTCTCTCTCAGCCCGATGATGTCTCACAGGCCTGCAATTCTGCTTCTGTTAGCTGGGTAGAGTTCAGGTGCTGAAAAAGGCCAGTATGTGATACAGAAATAAATGTGGAGACCTACACAAATTTGCAACAGTTTTCCGTGACTGATTTAATTGAAGGTATTATAGAGACACCCCTTCACAGATCAGTCACTACCTGCACGTACAAAATGCTAGAGAGAGGCCAGCTCTTGCTTGTTACAGTCTGCTCAGGTAGATTCATCCAGTTTGGAGAAGCAGGCAGAGGGGCAGAGCTGAGCAGAAGATCTGGCCATTTCAAGGTTACCTAGGGAAGGTTCTCGGGCAGAGTGTGAGAACCAGCCCACCTTGGTAAAGGCCAGGGATGTTCCAGAGCTGCGGAGGGGGAGGAGATGGAGTTCCTGGACCCAGTCAGGAGATGACAGCAGAAGGTGGTGTTCAGTGTTCCCACCTTCAAGCTACCTTGACGGTGGAATCAGCATCTTCTCCAAAACGGAAGAGAGGGAATGTTGCAGTTTGGATTCTACTCTTCACATGGGCAGATGCTTCTCCCACATCTCAAGGAGAAGACTACTTTGATTTATACTGTACTATAACTGGTGAAGGACTAATAAAAAGACTGGGCTTCTAAGTTCTGATCTAAGTATGCTGGAGAGGAAAAGAGGGCGGGAGAGCCTGCTCGGCACATGAGAGCACCTCTGCGTGGACACAGGGGTGTCTGTCCCTGCGCCTTCCATTCACGCATTTGAAAAAACCATCTAAGCACTTGGATTCTCCATGGCCAGTCATCGTTGTCGTGTCCTTGGCACGTTTGTTGGCCAGTCATTGGCACCGCTGCTGCTTCCGCTGCCCCCCACGCCGCCAGACACGGCTAGCTCCATCATACGCCCCCTGGGGGGGGGGAGCAGATGCGGCGGGGTGAGGCCATTGCCATGCCGTGGCTGCACCACCCCTGTCTCCGGGGGAGGCGGGCCCCCCCATCATTGGGTCGTGCCAAAGGACATCACCTGCTTGGCACCTGCTTGGCACTCTTTTGGTGCTGTTCAGGGCTGGGACTCTGCCTCTGCCTGTTGATTTGTTGTATTTATTGTTTATTGCTTTCTAAATATGGTTATTCTGTTGTTTCTATGTGTGTTTTTTTAAATCTGTAACCTGCCCAGAGAACACAATGGGCTACAGGGCAGTAAAAAAATATAAAGCTGAAGCTAAATCTGATGATGGATTTTTTTTTTTTTTTGAACATTTCATAGTACATCAGAGACTGAAATTATGGCGAGGAAGGGACTGAAAGCCAGAACGTATGTCTAATAGTAGGACTGATCTCAGAAACTGCACTCTGCAATTACCTCAAGTGGCTGTGAGGGTTGAGATTGTTGGTTTGTTCCTTTGCTGAATTGGTCTGATGGAGGAGCAAAACCACTTTGTCTAACACTGCTCTTTGCGTAATACTATACACATTAATGATTATATGCAATTGTGTAATTTTAGACTCTGGGCAGGATCCTACAGTTATCCCTTCCCATCTGCTTAGATGGTATTGGGATCTTTTCACTTTCCTTCAAGCACAGTGCTTATTCTACTGATGTCGAAGTCCTGCCCATACAACACCAGCGAGTCTCAGACTACCCAGCTCTCTTCAACCACAGGAAGCGCTGGGGAGCCAGTGCGGTGTGGTGGTTAAGAGCCCGGGACCGGGACTCAGGCGACCTGGGCTCTAGTCCCCCCTCGGCCAAGTGGCTCCCTGGGGGACTTTGGACAACTCACAGACTGTCAGCCCACCCACTTCACAAGGCTGTGGTTGTGAGAATAAGACGGAGAGGAGGAAGAGGAGAGTTATGTGTGCTGTCTTAAGTTTCTTGGGAGGGAGAAAAGGTGGGCATAAATAAATAAATGAAATGAAAGCTTATCCAAAGCTGGCCGCAGCTATTGATTTTAGGTTGCATAAAGGATGCATATAACCTTCCTATCTGTATGTACTGATGGGCTGTTCGTCTCTGGCAAGCAGCAGAACAGCTAGGAATTGAGAAATAATTCTACCGCCCAAGCTCAACAGGCAGGCCACCCTTTGCCCCTGAGCCCTCCAGTCCTGAGCAGGTGAAAGTGGAAAAATAGCACTCTATTTCTCCATCACCTTCCCCTTTTCTACTCGACATTTTGCCCCCTGTTTCGCTCATGCCTGGCTTGTGTGATCATTTTGGTTAGGTCGGTTATTTCAATGCTTCTCCTCCCCCCCCCCCCCCCCCCACACACACTAAGAGAATCTACCAACGGATATTTTTCCCTTCTGCTCTCCAAGGCCAGATGTTTTGTTCTAACCCCTGATCTGGAGGCAAGCCCCCCTCTTCTGGGGAAAAACCCTATGCAGGGGCAATAGACTGAAAGGAAGAAACAAGAGGAGGATAAAAAGGAAACCCCTTTTACTGCTATTTGGACAGGAGGGGGGGAGGCTGGGAGGGGCGCTGCACGGCAGCTGCTCCTGTACGTTCACAGGCAGCAGGTAGCAAGAGCGCTACCTTCCTCACTGCAGTGGTGTGCGTGATGGCATTCAGCATCTGCTGTGTGTGTCCATGACAGTTGCCTTCACACTTGATTCTTGCAAGCATGAATAACATGCAAAGCTAAATGCATCACAAGAGGAATTTGACTCTGTCTTCTGCATGTGTTTTTCTTTTCAGCACCTCTTAAGCTGCAATCCCATGCCAGTTTAGGCAGAAACAAGGCCAGCTTTTCTAGCTGGGGTGTGCTGCAAAATGTAGGCCTCTCCTCTCCTCTCCTCTCCTCTTTCTTGCATCAGATTGTACCCTTGATAAATTCTCCGCAGCCTGGTGGGGACCAGGGCTGTGACTGAACCACCAACCCTTGAAATTGTCTCAGACTAATCTCCCTTGAAGCCTCTTTGCATGCGGATGAAGTTGAATCATGCGCTCTCCTAATTTTGCAGTTGCTTCGCCTGCGGCATCTCTTGCCAACTATTGCGATGCTACATCTGTACTCACCCTGCTTTGTTGAGGCAAATTCTATCTTTAACCCCGACTTTTATGTACATGCAGATGGTGTCTCATCATGACATCTGCAAGACATCATCAGCTCATCTGACGCCGTTTGTCCCGCTCTCTCCTGTCACATGCCGCTACAATGTCGGTGCAAATGCAGTGAAGGCTCCTCGGCTCCTTCCTCTTCTTTACCTTTGTGCTTCACCCGTGCATAGAGTCCCATCTCCATCTCAAGAGTGACACTTTAAAAAATCAGGCAAAGCCGCTCTTGCGGACTCTTATACAGGACTGCAGCTCTACAATCAAGCTCCAACAGGTGTGCGATGCCCACCCTCACCTCCAAAATAGACCTTGAGTTGTTCTGACCTCTGATCACCTCTGTACCAGTGCCTGTCCGAACTCCCCTGAGAATTTGTTAACCTGGAGACCCAGCCTGGTGTGAGCTTGAGTGGACACCAGGGGATGGTGGAGGACAGGAAGGCCTGGAGGAATGTTGTCCATGGGGTCGCGATGGGTCAGATGCAACTTCGCAACTAACAACAACGATAGAGGATAATGGAGAACAAGCTCCCAGGGTTCCAAGAGGATGCACGCACACATGCACACATGAATAAGAGAATACTTCTTGCTCTCTCACAGACTGAGGGCTTATTAGTCCAACATCCAGTCGCCCCCACAGCCAACCAGGTGTTTGTGGCAGGCCACGATGCAACAGCATGCCACTGCTCATTTCCCCTAGCAACTGGCATCGTGAGCACTTTGCTCCAAGACACCCCTCGTAACCTTACTCTCCATGCAGTTACAGGTCCACTGACTCTACGCTCGCCTTCCAGTGTATATGTGGGAACTGATGTGGGACTGCAGACTGATCCCACTCAAGCACACTCCATACATTCACTGAACATGCATATGTGGTCCGGGGAACTCAAGGTTTGAATGAAGAATGAAAATTGTGCCTCACTTCCCAGTTGCAATGTATGGCTGTGAAAGCTGGACCATAAGGAAGGCTGAGTGCCAAAGGATTGAGGCCTTTGAATCGTGGTGCTGGAGGAGACTCCCGAGAGTCCCTCTTGGACTGCAGAGAGACCAAACCAGTCAATCTTAAAGAAAATCAAGCCAGACTGCTCTTTAGAAGTCCAGATGCTAAAGATGAAACTCAAATACTTTGGCCACCTAATAAGAGGGAAGGACTCACTGGAGAAGACCGTAATGCTGGTAATGAATGAGGGCAAAAGGAGAAGGGGATGAGGTGGCTGGATGGAGTCACTGGGGCAGTGGGTGTGGGCTTGGGTGCACTCCAAGGGATGGTGGAGGACAGGAGAGCCTGGAGGAATGTTGTCCATGGAGTTGTGATGGGTTGGACATGACTTCGCGACTAACAACAACAACAACAAACGATTTAGTTAGCCACTCTGGCTTGAGAGGGAAAGGGTCTGATGTGCTTTGGTGGATTTCTCCACACTGTGGTTAATCTTCTCACACTTTTTCAGTTCCACTCAACACTGCCCCCATATCTCCCTCTGGATTGGGTAGGTGGATTCCAGATTGGTGCCCGGAAGTCGGTATCACTGGGCTTGAATTGCCTTGGCTTTTGGAGATCCCAAAGAAAAGATATGTAAGACCCAAGTTTGCTGACAAGGAGACTTTTCATTGGCCTCTAGAATAACTTACAATGCAGTCTCTAACAGCACTCAGTCCACAAGGCTCCCATCAGCTGGAACAGACGAGAAGCAAATCCTGCTGGTCCAAGTTGCCCAACAAAGAGGAGTTGGGCCAAGTGCCCATTTTGTACTTTCTCTTGGTTACAGCAAAGCAAACCTTAATACAGATGTGAGCTTTGAAGTCGCATGAGTGACAGCTACATCAGCTTTAGGGTTGAGGAAGCTGACCCTACCAACCGGCCAAAGGCTCTTTCTCACCCTACGCTAGCACTGGTATTGCCAGCAACTGATCCACCAATTGGCAGAGTCATGCTACATTTAACGAGCAAGGTTGCAAGGTGATTGACTGGAGTAAGAGCATGATCTAATTGACTTGGTCCAGCTCTAGAAGGGAAGCCTTGTCATTCCTGGTATGACACCCTTTGCCCATCGCCCCTGCCAAGAGACCCAAAGCAAGCCTGCCCACTAAGGAACCACAAAGCAGGGCAAGCAGAGCGTGGAGGACCCTGCAGGGCCGTTGCCGACAGTCCCAGGTCCGATTCCACCCATGATGCCTCCAAAGCCCTGCAGCAGAGCGGCCCCTGCCAGGCACCGTGGAAGGATTAGAATAATCGGCACGGCATTCGCCGGCCGCACTGGCTTCTTCTTTGGCTGGAGCTGCAGAATCTACCTGCCGTAGCCAAGGTAAGGGAACAGTGGCCATTCCTCCGAAGGGGCCCGCCTGAATTCTAGCATCAAGGGCCCAACCAGCCTGGCAGTGGGTCATTTGACGGATAAGCATTCCCTGGAATGTCAAGGTTTTAAAACTATGACTCACTGGGGGGGGGCACCAAATACACAGAACAAATTCAAAGCCACAACAACTTGAAGAACAAAGACTTTTATTTAGCTACGGGAAAGGTATACCAACTTAGAGATAAGGCTGGTGCGTTGTGTCAAACAACAGTCCATTCATTCATTCATTCATTCATTCATTCATTCATTGGATTTGTATGTCACCCAATGGTGCCACAGCACCTCTGGGCGGCTTACATGAGATAAAAACACAATAAAAACATAATAAAACCATAACACTTTAAAAACAATAAAATACAGCAAAACATACAAAACAAAGCTCAATGGCAATTATTCATTATTTTTTTAAAGAAAAGCTTTAGAAGGCTAGGTATCTTAGTGAGAACAAGAAGAAACAGGCATCAAAAGCCACGTCACACCATGATGATATAAACTGTGGGCAGGGACTGCCTTAATGGGTATTGTAAAAATATTTTTTCTGTACTTTGATGTTGAACATGACCCCAGAAACAAGGCGAATGGAAATACAGTTCACGGTTCACACATCTTGGAATGAGACGATGCTGTGCTGCTGCTCATTTCAGTCTGTCAGATTTTGTAAGGCTGCATGTTACTTAGGCAATGGTCTTATGGTATCTAGACAACATCTAGGAGAGCAGAGGACACTTTGGATTTCCAGATCTGAGGCTAGAGATGGAGAGGACCAATGCTCCAACTCTCTTCACCACCCCTTGCAGCTAGTGTGGAAAGACCCATGCCAGGCGCTTCTCCAAGGTCAGATAATCAGCCTTGGAGAGGGGCTTAGAGGGTGTTGGAGGACAGTGAGGGGGAGGCAGGGGCTGCCAAGATATGGAGCATCCTGAGAGTTCTCCAGCTGCCTCACACCTCACTCTGAAACACTGCAGCGGGTCAGCCGGGGATTGATTTCGGAGCTTCTACTCTGCACTGGATGCTCCATTTGGAGGCTTGCAAACATGGGGGGGTGCAACCCAGTGGGCTGATGGACGGATTTGCACAATGTCCAGCAAATGCAGCATAAACAGATTTTTAAAATATAAAGAACTAAAACCAAGCATATGAATTACAGGTAAAATGGCTAACCTGATGGAAGTGCTTCTCTTTCCCTCCTGCCAATTGTAAAATTGAGCAGAGCCGGCTGGTGCCGGAGGTCAGACTAGATGGCCCGGGAGGCCCCTTCTGACTCGCTCTGTTTCTGTGTAAAGCAGCCATCATTTACCTCTGGGCCATGGCTGGAGAAAACAGGGCTAATTCCTCCCATACACCCAGGGGATCTGACTCAGGCAGCAAAGTGCCGGCAAGCATTCCCAGCACTTGATCCTAAGGGCATGAATCCTAGCGAGGTGAGACCGAGTTAATCTGCCAAGGATTACGCCCTGTTCAATTTCAAGAGTTCTGCTCAGTCAGCCAGAGTCTAAGAGGTCGTGGCTACAAGCTCGGTGTGATATAGGCCATCAGGTCTGCCATCATTGTGATGGGGGCACAGGCATTTATATGGCCAGAATCTGGGTTGGCCGCAATGGTATCACTGGCCACTGGACAAAACCTGTCCTATCATCTTTGCCAGTGGATCAATGACAGGAAGCAGGCTTTTCCTTCCTTGAAACCCATGTCCCCAAATGCAGGGTTTTCTCTCTCCCTGTTAGCATGAATGGCATCGATTCACTTATGGGGGAGCAAGTAGGTAACAGGGACACTTAGAGACACCAGGTGGGGAACAGGGTCTTCCTATTCCCGGGGGACCCCAGTGACTGAGAATCAAGTCCACTGCCATCTGCTTGGGCCATCCTAAACTCTGCTTCCTGGTCACACCACCGCCTGACAAAAATTATGGGAAGTTTTGTCTTGAATATGGATACCTTCTTGTGCTTCATATACCGACTTACAACTAGTCTAAGGGTTGGAAATTAGCTTGCAGCAGATGCTGCCCGGATCCAGCTCCAGCTGTAGTCTTCCTTCATGGAATAGCAGCCCTTGACGGAGCTTTGCATCCCCAATTTCACTGGAAGCATCCAAACGAATAGCACTGGCACCATTCATTGCATGCAGCCAACGCGTCCTCCGCCTGGCCAGGAAGCAGTTCTTTGACTTCTTAAATTTTGTAAATCTTGAAAAGCAGCTGAGGCTGAAAAGCAGAGAGGAGCCTGCTCTGTAGATGGACAATGCAGGGCGGATTCTAAATTAACGCACAAGGCAGCTTTGCGCTGAAGGTGGGGCAGCTGGGGCAGCTGGAGGATCGGCAGGTTTCACTTGTCATGGGACTCCAGCTCGATGGAAGACCTGGTCTTGGTTTGTGCTGTGCTGTGGCCGCTCTCCTCAGCAAAGGCATCCTCAAAGACAGAGAGGAGGGAGCGCCTCAGCTTCTCCTTGAAATCATGCCCCATGAACACATAGAGGATGGGGTTGAGACAGCTGTTGATGAAAGCCAAGCTAGATGTCAAGGGTATCCCGACAGCCAACAGCAAACGCATCTCTGCGTGCCCGGAATATTTTAGCTCAAGGAAAGAAAATACATGATACGGGAACCAACAGATAAAGAAGGCGGTGATGACTGCTGTGATGACCTTGAAGGGCTTGCTTGACTGCGCCAAGTGGTCCCTCCTCAGCCTCAGAGCAATTGCCCCATAGCAAGCCACAATGACACTGAAGGGGATGACGAAGCCAAAGATGAACCGGCTGATGACCACTGCATGGTGCCTGAGCAGATTCACAGCTGGGTGACCATAATTGTTAAAGCACACGATCATGCCCTTCTTCCCTGGATGTGGCATTGTATCCCTGAAATGGAGGTTTGGGGAACACAACACCAGAGCCAGGGTCCAAACACCCAAGGCCACAAAGCCAGCCCGCTGGGGTGTCCGGTGATTCTGAGCCCACACCGGGCACCGCACAGAAATGCAACGGTCCATGCTAATCACCATGAGAAGGTAAACACTGGCGTACAAGTTGAGGTAGGCCAGGGCATTGTTGATCTTGCACATGGCCCTGCCAAATGGCCAGTGGAATTTCAGGGCTGCCTGGGCAATACTCAATGGCAAGAAGAAGGTGAAAATGAAGTCAGCAATGGCTAAGTTGAGGAACAAGACAGTGTTGACCGTCTTCTTCATACAGAAGCCCGTGATGATAATGACCAGTCCATTTCCAATGATCCCCAATAGGAAAGCCAGGCTATAGATGACCATAGAGACAATAGTCATCCTTCTCCATAAATTGTTTGCCTCATTTTGGCCGTCTTTTTCAACGTCCCCAGTAATATAGGAGTCATTGCTAGGAAAAGTTGGCAGCACCGTGGCCTCCATTTTCTTTGGAGGAGGCTCTGCTTCACCCGTGTCTTCTCCCTTTGCCTGCCAGAAACAAAACAGTAAGAACAAAACAGTGTGCAGGAACAAGCCAACATTCATTTCACTTAACACTCCATTCACCACAGCTTCCCAAAGAAGCCCCCTGGAGGCTCGCAAACAGGAAAACAGGGACATAGCCCCCCCCCCCCCCCGCAGCCCCCTTGTTCCAGGCATGCCCTGCTCAGAAATAGGTTGCCTCAGTGCCAGAAACCCGACAAGCTACACCCCTGGTGGACCCACCTAGTTTTATAAAACTGTGGGGAATAGATAACAAGAAAGTAAGGCAGTTACACTGAGCGAATCTATTGATTCCAGAATGATTTTACTGGGATGTTAGGAATGAATTGATTATAGTTCAGAAATTACTGAATTAATTTGTTGTTGGTCAATGGTGGTGATGAAGCTGAGAGATCAACAGTGAGCAGGGAGAGTAGAAACACCCAAGCATATTAACTGGAAAATTATGGCCTCTCCACACCACTCTGGGGGCATGGGGGCACCACTCCACACCTGTGCCAGTTCCTCTTGGTGCCCTGGGCTACTTCCCTCCCTCTCCCCAATGCCACCTCTCATCTCCTCTCCCCTCTCCTCTCCTCAAAAGTCACATAACTCCCCAAACTTGGCTGAAACAAAACTGCTGAATTTTGTGGTGGGAGAAAAGGTCCTCAAGATGGTTGTGAAGAACCGAGTTCCAGGACATCCTGGGACTGCTCCATGCCAGGGGGTGAAGGGATGGCGCAGACGTGCTCACGCATGCCACACTCTCGTGCGCAAGGGAGTACATTTGTGTCTCTCATGCGAGACAGGAGATACAGCCATATTCCCTTGCCAACGGTCTAAACTCTTAGGAGAACCCGCCACCCAGACCAGACCCCCTGAAAATGGCCCCCTAGATAACATGCATGGGGCAAGCCATGGCTCCAGCCATGGGAGGCTTATAAGTCTCCAAGGTGGAGACTCGTGTGCATCTGATACAGAAGCCCATATGCGGACCTCGGAATCTGTCCAACCAATGCATTGCATGGCGGCTCCAGAAAGATAACGAACAAATGAAATGAAATAAAACGTTTAGGCAAAAATTGTGCTCATGACCTTCTCATGCTGATGTAGTGTTAGGATTGTCCATTGTTTAAAAGGAAAGAAACCGCTGTTACTGCCTCATAATGTGCACATGCCATGCCTCCCCCCTCCTCGCCAAATGTGCTCTGGGCGCACCACGCCTGGCTCAGCCCTGGCCGGCCGTTTGCGCCACTGCAGCCACATGTGCTTGCGATGCATGGCTGTGAGAGTTGGACCATAAGGAAGGCTGAGTGCCGAAGGATTGAGGCCTTTGAATTGTGGTGCTGGAGGAGACTCCTGCAAGTCCCTTGGACTGCAAGGAGATCAGACCAGTCAGTCCTAGAGGAGATCAATGCTGACTGCTCTTTAGAAGGCCAGATACTGAAGATGAAACTCAAATACTTTGGCCACCTAATGAGAAGGAAGGACTCACTGGAGAAGAGCCTGATGCTGAGAACGATTGATAGCAAAAGAAGAAGGGGACGGCAGAGGATGAGGTGGCTGCATGGGGCCACTGGGGAGGTGGGTGTGGGGTTGGGTGGACTCCGGGGGATGCTGGAGCACAGGAAGGCCTGGAGGGATGTTGTCCATGGGGTCGCGATGGGTCGGGCACAACTTCACAGCTAGCAGCAACAGCAACACGTGCTCTGAGCCTTCTGCAGAGAGTTGCTGGAGAGTCCTGCTTACCTCTTGCCACAACCGAGACGTTGCTGCCCTCAGCACAGCTCCTGCTGCCTTGTTTCTCAACTGATTGATCAACTTTCCTTCCCTCTCCACCCTGCGCCCAGCCTCTTCTGAGGCAAACAGCGGCCTTCTCATCTCAGCAGGCAGAAGCGGCGTGTGAGGGGGGAGCACTGGCAAGGCCAGCAAGGAGAACCGTGTTGAGAAGCTTGGTGGCAAGCAAGCCGGGGGGGGGGGGGGGGCTCTGGGGAGCCCTCTTGCCTCCCTGGCTGAAAGGCCCAGGCTTCCTCAGCCTGCCCTTCCTCCATTCGAGGCTGCCTGCCCCACCCTGTCACTGCATGGGGTGTGCAGGGAGAGGAAGAAGGCCAAAGCAGGCACAGTATTATTATTATAATTAATTTTATCATAATAATATTGTTCGATTGTTTGTTGTACTTTACTCTTTGATTGTATGTAAGCCTCCCAGAGAGCCCATGGCTAATCAGGAGGCATATAAATCAAAGAAAGGAAGGAGACAGACAGACAGACAGACAGACAGACAGACAGACAGACAGACAGACAGACATTACCAGTGCAGGAAAGGCTGACTTGGAGCTGCTCTTGGTACAAGAAGCATTGACACAGCAACAAAGTTAAAAAGAAGCAACCATGAGCTCTAAATCCGCAGTGACAGTTGCCCTGCCCTCCTCTGCTGGAGCTGCTCTGCCTTTCTCCTTCTAAGGAAACACTCAAAAGACGTGCTCTGTTTCCCCTGCTGAGGGAAAATATCACCACTTCGACTCCTTGGCTGCTTGTGGGTGTGAAAGGGGGCTGAGCAGGGTTGACATTCAGGCCTATGAATTGGCTGCTCTCCTCTAGGGATGCCCAATGGCTTTGTCATCCAGGCAGTGCACAAAATGCAGTGAATGTAACCATAAACAGCAGCACATATGTATCTTTGGCCCCTGAGCACTGCTATATTGAGCCATGGTGTGGCCCTTGCTCAGGAGATTTGCCTAAAGATTGCTTGCAAACCTAAAACCACAACAGAACAACTAAAACAATTCAGCCTAGTCCATACCACTAGGCAATACCTTCCCCCCCCCCCCCACACACACACACTGATGTGAATTAATAAATGCCTTGGAATAAGGGCATTCTTATCCTTGTGCTAAAATGATTGCAACGTTGATGCTGGGTGGGGAGACCATTCCAAAATTTGGGAGCTTCCACAGAGAGTACACTTACTGAGGCTTTCTCAGAGGTGGTATTTGGAGGAAGACTTCAGATGGGCAGTGTAGTTTCTGGGAAGATTACAGTTAGAAGAGGTGTCCCATCAAGTCATGTGGTTCCCAAACTTTGTAGCACTTTGTGGCTTAACACCAGTATCCTGTATAGGGCTCAGAAGCATTCAGGAAGTGAAAGCAAGTAGACCAGAACTGGTGTTTCAGGTTTGGACCATCAGCTATTAGTCTGGCTTCCACAGTTTGCACAGGCTGAGTAGCCACCACCCAGTCAGGGGAACCCACAGCACCTCAGTCTTGTCTGGACTGAGCTTCAATCTGCTACAAGCTTCAAACACTCATCTAGTCCATTGACACAGCCAGGCAACGGTTCAGCTCATCCCCAGCATCATCTGCAGACGATGAAAAGGAGGAGCTGAGCTGTGCGTCACCAGCGTGTTCATGATGAAGCACCTCATAGCTCCAGCTGATTCCACTGAGCAGTTCATGCACATGCTGAATAATGTGGGGGACAAAACCAAGTCCTGAAGAGTCCACAGAGCTGAGCAGCATCTTCCCCCTGTCACCTTCTGGACCTTGCCCTCTGAGCAGGTACCTGCCCCTGCCACGAGCAGGTACCTGCCACTTCCAACTCACCCCAGAAGAACAGTCTGGCTGATTGTAGTGAAAGTGCTGAGTGACCCAGGAGCATGAACACAGTCCTACCCACACCCCCTCCCCGCCGTCTCTCGCCCGGCATAGGTCATCAAACAAGGTGACCAGAACTGTTTCTGTACCAAGCCCTGGCCTGCACCCAACTGAAATGGATCCAGTGCCTGGCGCTGGGTTGCCCCCACCTGCTCAGGACCTTGCCAGGAAGGGAGCATTCACCAGCAGTCTCAAGATATGTGGGCCTTCCAGGTCCAGAGCAGGTTTCTTCCGGAGTGGCCTCCCCACCTCCTGCCCAAGTGGCCTTCGAGCACTCCTGCGCACGAGGAGGCATGGATCGCCTCCCTGGCCCGGTGAGCAAGCTTTGATGACCCTCCCACCCCGCCAGCTTTCATAAGCCAGGAGGGATAAGGTTCCTTGCGCAGGTGGTGGCACGAGTCTGTCCAAGTGCCTTGTCGACCACCTTGAGCTGCAGCAGCTGCAACTTATCCAAGAGAACTGCACCAGGCTGGGTACGGCCCACGATTCAAGGACTATACACAGAAGCTCGAGTCCTGGCAGGAGCCAGAGAGTTTATCTGGGAGGTGACGAGCAGATATTTCCAGCGGGCCTCAGGCTGGCCCAAGGGCCCCTGCGGCCGGCGTGTGAGGGGCCTGCAGATGGCCATGCGGAACTGTGCTGAGTGACATGCAGGAGGCTGGGTTCAGGCAGTGCGGTTTTGTTTCTTACTTACCCTCACTGCCCCCGAGTACACAATCGGCACGTGCCAGCGCCTGGTTGCACCCCTGGGAGCTTTTCCGCCCACTGTACTCAAACCATTTCCTGATTGTTTCATCACTCTCCACTCCGGGCCACCGCACAGAGCTGAACAAGCACCGCCATGCTGAGCAAGCTCAGCAGCCGTTGCACCATCGGCAGGGGTCACCTCTGCATTCCAGAGTTCAGCCAGGGATGCCGCAGAGCAGCCACCCATCCCAGTCGGCAAGTCCCCACGGGCACCACGGGGAGAGGCTGGCATGCCCTGCCGGCCACCCCGCTCTCGTGCTGCATGCCAGAGCGGCTGCTCCCTCGGCTAGCAGGGACGAGGGAGGCCTTGCGTGGGACTGGCGTTCAAAGGCGGCCTCCAGAGACGGAGGGTGCAAGGAGGACCAGGACGCCGCACGCTGCCTGGGCCACCTTGACTCCCCTTCCCCAGCTAGCCCTCTCCCCACGCCATGCCTACCCGCGGCTCTGCGCACGGGGCTTCCCACCGGTTTCCCCCACTTGGCTCCATGTCTTTCCAAGCGCATATTCAGGCCATCAAGAGGAAATAAACCATTGTGCGCATGGACCCCCCTCAAGAACTCTGAGCACCCCATGGAGAAGGCACTGGAGGGGCCCAGGCAGCTTCCCCACAAGGGCAGCCCCCCCTTTGCCTTTCCTCCTACTGGGGCACCACTGCCACTGCATAAGAGCCCCCTGCAGCTCCGCTCGCTCACACTGGCGATCAGCGCACGGAGGCGGGCCTTTACTTCTTCCGCTCTGCTGCTGAAACGGCAGCAGTGCCAGGCAGGCCCTTGAGACGGCAGGAAAGGCTCGCCTGCCAGCGGGGTCCTGGGTGGCTTTCTCTGCCGGCTGCAGGGCTGAATCGCCCCATGTCGGAGCAGCTCCAAGTAAGAGCTGCTTTCACCCTTCTGCCTGGAGCTGATAACCACGCAACTCAGGGTGTTCACGATCCTTTCTGGTTTCTCCTGCTCTGCTGTCGCCGGTCACCATCCCTCATGCCAGAGACAGCAGAAGCCAAGAGGCAGCTCAGGGCAGAGCCGCAAGACAGCAGGAAAGTGTCCTGGTTTCCGGCATATTTGAACGGGAGGAAGTTCCACCACTGAATGCAGTGGGACCTACTTCTGTGTAGACCTGTAGAGGATTCCTGTACATACCCAGCTCCTTGGAGGGAGAAGAACCCACTGGTAGGCCAAAGACGGCCCTGTTCACTTTCTCTTGGAACGAATCCCGGGGTTGCCGTTGTCAGTATCACTGGGCAATCTTGGGCCTTATTCCCTGAGCCATTCGGTGTATTGCACCTGCAGTGGCAGTACCCCCCCCCCGAACTGCCCCCCATGTAAGTTGAGCAACATGATTGGTGGGGTGATCAGTGCCTAATAAGGAAGGTGGGGGAGCAAGTGAGCTACTAAGAAATCGGAGGATCTCGCCAGATATCGGGAGCTGGATCCTTCGCCAAGCATGTTCCCATGTGCAAGAAACTAGGCCGGGTACACGGAGGTGGAATCTGAGAGGCGTGCACAGCAGCGGGCGGGGGGGGGGGGCGATGGATGTGGGAGAAAGCAGAGGACTGTGCAGGTAGGTTGAACATGATGAGGCTCCGGGCAACAGAAGGAAGAGTGTGGGTTTAGGCAGGAGGGTGGCCTGAGTAGAAGATGGTAAGCAGTAATGCAGGCATTATTCTGGCAGTAATGGTCTTATGCAGAGCCCTCTGTGGGGTGCGCTCGGGCCCACTGTGCTGCCCCAGGCCCCAGACATCTGCCCCAGTCAGAGATGGCCCTGCCGATCATATGCCCCAGCCGATGTAGGAACTGGAGAAGACTTGTTCTCCATTAAGGATAAGATTGCAACTCAGGGTAGAAATTGCAAGGAAGCAGGTTTAGGCTAAATGTTAGGAGAAGTGTGCTGTTAGACCATGGGAGAGACAGTCTTAGGAGGTTGTGGGTTCTCCTCCACTTGAGGAGATATAAGTAGAGGTGGGAATCATGGCATTCCAAAGCCTTCCTTGAACAAGGGAGTGGGCTAGTTGGCCTCCAAGGGTCCTTTCAATTCTATAATTCTGCATGATTAGGAGAGCAACCCTATTGCCCCAGACAGTGTCCAGGATAGGGATGAGATGAAGCCTAGTGAAACCTGACCCTCTGGCATTCGTGGTCTTCCTCTCGTGCTCAGACCAGTCTTGGGAAGCAGGATGAGCCGAAAGGACACTTGCCGAATGAAGGCTACCCAGCCTGTAGAAATGGCTGCCGTGGGTGGAGTGGAAGAAGGGGGCGTATTCCATGTGTGGGACTCAGTTCCTGGCCAGGGTCCCACAGACACTGGACTCAGGCTGCCACAGATCCAATGGATTCCCATCCTCACTATGGATCCAGCATGGAAAGAGCCATGGCAGCTGCTTCGCTGAGGCTGGAGAAGGGACTTCAGGGAAGAGAGAAGGAGTTGTTCTGGGTGAGCAGGGATGAAGCATTTTGGTGGCATTGCACCCTCCTCCCTTCACTTGCATCTGGACATGCAGCTGGACTGCCAGAACTAGCTGCAGGAGTACCTGGCAGAGTGAGGACCTCAGGGAAGCAGAGAGCGCCTCTGCCCCTCTGCAGAAGACAGCTGGAAGCCCCTAAATCCAGCGGCTTGTGAGCACTGGGGTGCAGCCCCCTGCATGGTGCCCGCACGAGTCTGGCCTGGCCCCTGACTGGACTCTGCTGGGGAGGCTTCCTCATTGCTGGGCACGTGAAGTCACACTCAGGAGAGAGAAGAGCTCTGTGTGAGAGGGAAGGAGGCCTGCTCTGCCTCACCGCAGCACAGCCACAGCCCTTCCTCCTGCTCATCCTGACGGACACAAGAACAGATCCACACAGCACATGGTGTTTGCCAGGAGATGGAGCAGGGAATGCCCACTTATCCTCCACTTGACCTCCTGGGAGATGTATATGTTCACATAAGTATCCAAATATTTGGGAAAGCAAAAGAAGAAGAAACTTCTCTTTTCCACCTGTTCTGCATTCATCACTCAGTGGAATTAAACTTTTGCCTCTGCGTCCCTCAAACTGCGGGAAAAATTGAGCTGACCCCGTGTCCTATTTTACAGAATCTGTTTAAAGGCTCTTTGAAGGCATCTTCTGTCTGAAGGACTGTCCAGTCCAGGTCTGGTTCAGAGATTTGAAGAGGGGAAAGAAGGGAGAGCAAACCCATGATGGTGCCCACCTATAGTGACCCCCAGGATAGCCGACTGAATAGGCAGGTACCCAGGTCACCTGGTCACCTGCAAGAGCTCTCACTTGCTGAGATACATTGTCTTTCTAGTTAAACTATAATAACTATGCATTCTGTATCTTTTTTTCCTCTTTGTAGGGGAATGTGTGGGCATGATGCCATTAACTACATTTGTAACCATGACCTTGCAGTTAAGTAGGAGAGGAGGAGAAGCTGGAAAACAAGTAGGGATTGCCAAAGGACACACGTTTTAGACAGCGGTGCAAATGTCCCACTTCTAATTTCTTCCTCTCTTACTTCTCCAAGGGGTATGCAGGAATCAGAAAAGATGTCATTTCATATCTGTTTTTAGTAAACCGGAATAGCACACCGATTCTTTAGCAAGAGAAGTAAAAATCAGGATCTCTCTCCAGCTTTTTGAATGAGAGACCCATTCAGATGAAAAGGAAAGTTTTGATTCATTTTCATTATGGAACCAAAAATCCAAAGCCCATTGGCTACGTAGTGCCCCTGCATCAGTATGGGATGTGATCCCTGATTAGCTAGACCCATCTCTAGGAGTAATAGCAGCGCCAAAGGCAGTTGAAAGGGCAGTGAACTGGAGTGGGAAAGCTACTGCTTTGGAAGGGGGGTCTTTCAGAGGATATGGGGGCAATGCCCCTTTTTGCTCCCTACATGTTTCCCCATGGACATTTTGGGGCAGCCCTAGTTGGACCAAATCCTCTTTAGCCACCAAGTGTGTCCCTTGGGAGGGAAACCACAGGTCCAACCAAGAGTATCTACATGCATCTTTCTTCTGCGGAAAGGAGGAGGCATGGTTGGGCTGCGGGAATGTGGCTTCCCCGGGCCGTGCTTCTAGACCTTGGGCAAGATGACCTGCAGATGTGAGCAACACCCATGGGCTTCCCACCACTTCTCCCCTTTGACAATTTCTTCACAGGCAGTTTTCCTAGAATGGGACTGCAGATTCCCATCCGCTGAATTTCTGCTCTTGTACAGTTGTTATGGAAACAGAGCCCAAGTCGGGAAAGCAGGGCACCAGAACCCCGCTCAGGGGGCCTTCCCACCATTTTCCCCCTCTGCCCTCCACTTCTGTACCTTTCATAGCAGCCTGATGCCTAGAAATGCAGCACACCTTCTTGGCATGGAGGTAAAGTCTTGGGAGGGGAGGCATAACAGAGCAATCAGAAATCAACCAGCCAAAGGATAGAAACTCTGCCAGTTTCATTTCCATGTGCGGAGTGGCGACCAGCAAACCGGGAGGAAACTCAGTCTCCACTGCACCAGAGACTTTATTCCTTTTGTATATTCCTGATTCTGTGCCACCTCCAAGAACAACATGCAGGGTTATCTCCACCCCACCCAGCCCACATCGGTCCTCTGAGGTATGGTAGGCAGATACTGATAAATGTGTTGAAATGCCAAGAAAAAATGTGCCATGGCTGAGCAGGACCAGGTCTCCTTGGCCCTATGCTGACACTTCAGCCACTATGTGGGACAGGTTCTGACCTTAATCTGTCCTGGGGCTCCGTTCCTGTGCCACTAAAAGCTTCAATAGCAGGCAGAAATGCAAGACTTGGGAGCAGAAGGGTCAAGGAACAAATGAACAGTCAACAGAACTTTCAGCTGAGCCCCCTGAGAGAATTCCCCATTTGCCCCATTACAATTAAAGGCAAAGTGCTTCCATCAAGGAGAAGGGGGCCAAATGCCACCTTTTGTCAGCTGCGAAGAAGTAGGGATTCAGCAGGCTTGCCTTGTCCCGCTTTTGTACAAATTCCCTCTGCTGTATACATATTAAAAGAGCCTCTTTTGCATCTGGCCCCCACAATTCGAGGAGGAAAAGTGAGACCCACCTCCCGGTCAAGACGCTGCTTACCTGCCTGCCGAGCCCCGCGGTTCTGCAGCCTCAAGCAGCGGCACCTTTGAATGTGAGCAAAGAAGCAGAAGTGGCAGCTGGAGGGGAAAGGTGCTTTTATACCCTTTCCTGTACTGAAGCGAGCACAACTGTAATTTTAGTGGTTGCAGTTCTGCTCACGCCCTGCTGAGGGATGTGTGCTGCACCCTCCATAACTCTGTGGACTGCAACCCGCTCCAGCGATTGCCAACCTAGCCAATGGTGGGAGCTAACTGCACCCACAGCTGCGCCCCTCCAGCTGCCACTTCTCTCTTCTTTGCTCCATTTCTGTCACATGCTCTCCATCCAGGTGGCCGACCAGCCGTCCTCCTCTCCTTGGCGATACCAGCCACGTCCCAGGTGGGAGCCCAGGCACTGAGAACGAGCCGCAGGGCCAAGGCAGCTTAAATAACCTGGAGACCAGGGCTATGAAGCACCCTTCAGACGCGCCGGGTACAGCTCCCATCATCTCCAGCCAGGCTCACCCAGGCTGCTGAGAAGTGGTGAGGATAGAGGGAAAGAAAGATGATTGGCCTGCTCAGGGGCTAGAGCTGGTGTTCAGCCCCGTGGGCCACAGCAGGGAGTGCTCTAGCTTGGGATTCCAGCCAACCAGCCAGCCTAACAGATCTTCTTCCAGGAACTCCATTCTGCCCCATGCTCCATGTTCCACCCACTTCAGACAGACTATCAGCATTTCTGTCTGCTCAGGCTGGTCGCTCAGGAATGGGCTGGCCGCCTTCTCTTCCCTAATGATTTCTCTAGTGCTGTAAAGGTTCGCATCTCCCAAGCCTTTTGATACTGCTTGATTCAGATAAGCCACGTTCTGGCTGCAGGGTCAGGATAACCCACCTTGAAGTTGGCTGTTAGTATAGGAAAGTGCATATTCTGGAGATACCACAGATCTTCAAGGTCCTCTGCTCCACCATGAATTAAACCCTACTGTCAGCAGCCATAGAACTTCCTGCCACTTAAAGAAATGGGGAACACTTAGTCAATTTCCACTGTGCTATGACCAGCCAGGAAACCAAAGACAGACCAGCAATGTATTTTCAGCAATGTCAGCAATGTATTTTCCAGTGGCGGTGGGAGTCAGATACAGGGCTGTATAGTAATGTGTTCCTGCATTTTGAAACTGGAACAATGACACAGTTTTTGCAAGATCACATTTAATAATGACATTAATGCCTTCACAAAACAGAGCTTCCGCATTAGCACCTTGTTTTCATTATACAAGCCATTTCTATACCACCTCCTTTGGACCTGATGGTGCTCTCAAAAGCCCGTCTTTGGTCAGCAGTGGATTTGCCTTCACCTCAAAACATGGCAAGCCAGTCCAACTGCATTTGAGGGCCCATCTGCTCTCTCTGCTCAGGGGGTCCACAGACAGCAGCCCAAAGTTCTGCTCTGGTGGCAGCAAAGAATGGCTTTCAATGGAGACTGTAGAAATCCGTGGATGAAAAGTCCATCAATGGGTAAAGGGAATGTCCATGAGCTGAAAGGATCATGGCGAGTCTATCAGTTGCGAAGGACTGAAGATGGTCTTGGTGCCTTACTTGGGAACTCTCTGGAAGCATCTGGCAGGCCACTGTTCCAAACAGGATGTTCAGCTATGTGGAACTTGGGTATGATTCAGGATGGTTCTTCTTCTAGCTCTTCTCAGCAATAACAGCATCCCCCATCCTGTGGCTGCTGCCGGGGGAAACAAATTAACCTCAGGGTTGATCGTGGCAGGACTCTGAAGGCAGCCTTTTGGCAGCACGGGGCTTCCAATTTGTCAAGAATTTAATTCCTCGTCATCCAGGCTGCCGGCAGCCTCTTAGAAAATTGCTGCTTGATTTATTATCTGCCTTTTAGCAGATTAATTGATTCCATTTAAGGACATTTACATATTATCCAGACCTCATTATTAGCACCTTTTTTGAGTTAGAGCGAGAAGAGCAAGAACTTACCATTTCAACTACCAAGCTTGATCGCTAGTAGCTAGAATGAAACAGCCAGGTGGAAGATTAATCTCCATACCTAGTGCAAATTTGTAGTAACATGCACACACCACAGACACGCACATCGGCCAATCCTTTGTCCGGCTTTTAAAAACTAGGATTACATTGTTTTAGGAAGTGTTCCTGTGGTCCTACAGGATGTAGAATAGACTGGCTCTCCTCTTCCAAGGTCAGAGAGAGAAAAACATTGTTAGAGGACAAAACGTAACTTCGGGTGCCCTCTCCCATCCTCCATGGAAAATTCTGAAGTCTTTTCCTCCCAGATTTGGGAGTATTTATGTCTGTAGAGGCAAAAAGGAGCCAATCAGGAGGTGGGTAGATTGGGGAAGGCTTTCAGTCTGCATTACACAAAGCCCTTCTGGTCTCCAGACAACCGCCAAATGGAGAGCCATCTGAAGCTGGCATATGTAACTGTTTTTCTCTTGCTTCCAAGAGGAAGCCAGTCAACAGAAAGAAAAAAAGAGGAAGGAGAAACCATACCCACATCTCCAGCAGGGCTTCCAATTAGGCCCCTTCCTCCCCTTTGGAACGTGCTGTTGCAACCCATGGACTTTGCCACGGCTTCTGCTTGAGGTCCTTGCATTTCTGACTAGCCAATTTATAGCCAGCTATGCTGCTGTGCCACACGCGCGCGCGCACACACACACACACACACACACGAGGGACAAGTGCCTTTCCTAAAATACTCGGGGCTGGCTCCAACATTAGGCAGGCTGGGCAGCCAGCTCAGGTGGCAAAGGACGGGGGCAGTGGAGGACGTGGGGTACACAAGCCACACTGCCGGCCCAGGCCCCTTGCTGCCCCCATTGTGCCGAGCGGGGAATCCAGGCTTCCTGGCAGCGTGGAGGTTGGGTTCAAGAGCCAGACTGATCAGCTTTCGGACATGGAGTGGAGGGAGGGAATGGCGTCCTGGGGGGTGGGGCTCTTGCATGGAGCAGAGTGAGTATGAACTCTGTTCAGTCCACAGTCCCACGCATGATCCCTGGTTAGTTTTGGGGAGAGAGCGAAGACACAGGACACACATTCACACACTGAATGCGTCTAGTTCAGCCGTGAGGTGTAGGCTCCAGAGACGCTGCCCCTTCCCTAGATGGCGGGAGGGGGGACAGCGTTTTTCTAAGCCACCCAGACTGCAGCCGGGACGGAAGGGGAGTTAGTTCAGATCCACTGGTAGGTCTCTGGGCCGTCCCTGCAGGTCAGCAAAGCGGACACACGGGCAAGTGACTGACTGGGCACAGGTTGCCACCCAGGGCTGTCCCTGGACTAAAGGACTCAGTGTTCTTCACTAGTAAACTATGAATATTAACCACTTGCTACTTGTGGTCTTTCAGATGCTGTTGGAGTGCAGCTCCTATCATCTCTCACCATTGGCTGTACTGGCTAGGGCTGATGGACGTTGCAGGCCAACAGCAGCTGGGGGCCAGAAGTTGCCCACCCCCAGAGCCGGCCTTTGTTCACCTCTGATGGCCAGTTCCAGAGTCAGTGGGTGGCACAAGAACCTCAACAATGAAGGAAACTCAAAAGCAGCTTCCTCCTCATGGATGCAGCCTATCCCTGCACAGGTGTTCTGCTTTCAGGGATGGGGCTCCCCTCAACTTTCATGTCTTTGCCCCAGATCCCTGCATGTGGTCTGATCCAGTGCTAGATCCAGGTTTCGGCCCGCACGTGGGTCAGACCCCGAGTGAGTCCCCTCACTTACGGTGCCTGCCGTTTCACCACCATGGTTGCTCCTCCTCTTCTTCACCTTTGCTGCAGCTGCTTACTTCCTGCACGGAATTAAGACTTGCCAGGCAACAGGTAGGAGTGAGTGGTAGCAGCTATGGACTTCCATTGTCTGGTCCAGAGTGGGAATGGTGGGGAAGGGGAAGGGGAAAGGAGCCATTTTCTTGTCCACAGACCCTTTCCTGCAGGCTATACTCTTAGCCAGGCCAACCCTTAATGTCAGCCCTGGCCTGATAGCACTGACAGTAATCTCTCCAGCCCCAGCAAGACAAATGAATTCTGTCTGAAGTCTCCTGCTTGCACCTCAGTCTGAAATATAAAACACCTGGCCTTATGTAACCTATTTTTAATTTGTTCCCTACCCCTTCCTTTTCTGTGGAGTGGTTTAGGGTTCTGTAGAATCTGAGTGCTTGCTCAGGTTTAGGACTTTAATATTGGCTCTAGCAACGGTCTTGCCCAGCTGTGAATTAAGTTGCAGTAAGCCATTGGTTCCAGGCCTCTGCCACCATTTTGCATGAGTTATGCCCTCCAAAGCCACCATTTGTACATGGCATTGGTTAGTTGACCCAAAGGAGCAAGGGGACAGGGAAGAAGCAGACATGTCAAGCTGAAGCCTGCCGATGTCAGTTCTAAACTGGGTGGCACGCTACCTCCAAACTGGATTTGCTCTTGGATAATACCTGGGCTGAAGTTTCACTGAAAGCGCTCTCGAACACAGCAAGTACTGACATCCGCAACTTCTCTCGGAAGTCCTGTCCCACAAAGACATACAAGAAAGGATTCAGGCAGCTGTTGAGGTAAGCCAGGCCTGAAACCAGCGGGGACCCCACCATCAGCACAGTCTCAAGCCAGGGAAAGACCATGGTGACGGACATCTCCAGGAAGGAGAAGACATGATATGGGAACCAGCAGACGAAGAACGCCAGGACCACTGCCACCATGATCTTGAAAGGCCTTCCTGAGCGGGTGAGGCGGTTTCCTTTCAGCTTAGCTGTGATAATGCCATAACAGAACAGGATGACAATGAATGGTAGCAGGAATCCCACCACAAAACGGGTCAGCACCATCGCCTGGTGACGGTGCTTCCCCAGCTCCACGGCTTCCTCAGACTGGACATTGTCAGGCAAGGCAAAGTTGTTGTAACACTGAGTGATGTTCTCGTCCATGAAGGAGCTCCTAGTGTCACGGAAGATGAGGTAGGGGAAGCTGAGGGCCGCAGCTGCAACCCAGATGCCCAAAGCCACCAGAGAAGCCAGCCGGGTCGTGCGGTAGTTCTGCGTCCAGACTGGACTCACCACGGAGATGCAGCGGTCCACACTGATGACAGTGAGCAGAAAGACGCTGGCAAACATGTTGAGGAAGGCCACGGTGCTGCTGAGCTTGCACAGGGCCTTCCCAAAGGGCCAGTGGAAGCCTAAGGCCAGGTAGGCCACACTTAGCGGGAGAAAGAAAGTAAAAACAAAGTCAGCTATGGCCAGATTCAGAAACCAGACGGTAGTGACCGTCCTCTTCATACGGAAGCCGGTGATGAAGATGACGAGACCGTTCCCAATCATTCCCAGCAGGAAGGCAATGCTGTAGACCACCATGGACAGGACCCGCATAGCGTCGCGGAGCCCTGCGTGGTGGTCAAAGTCCGAATAGTCTTCATAGTCTCCATAAAGACTTTCTTCTGAGGTGTCGTTGAGGGCCATTTTAGAGGGCGATGACCTGTTGGAAAGAAGGAGGGATGTGAAGAGCGATTGTTGAAAGAGATGGGCATAAATGGCCTTTATGCTGCTTGGCAGATGGTGCAGCTCAAAGTGATTGGTGTGACCATTGCCCTTCATGCCCTTTTCCTAATGGGAAGGAAGGAAGGAAGCTTAGCCAACTCACCGCCCCTTGGTAGAAAACAGCTTCTAGATCCCACAGGGAGACATCCCTGAACATGGCAATTCTACCACAATTCTATTAAAAATTATAATTCTACCTACAGATTTAGAATGGTTTTGCTTGCTTGTGTTGCCCCCCTGAATTTATCCCCAGACCTTGGGCTTTGGGACAGCCTTTGATATTGATGCCATGGAAACCAGCTTAGAATAGTCTTCTCTGAGCTGGCACCCTCTAAATGGGTTGGACAAGAATTCTCATCAGCCACAGCAAGCAGCCATGCTGTGTATGATATGGGGAATTGTAGCCCAACAGACCTGGAGGGCTCTGAGTTGGGAAAGGCTGCCATGGAAGCTTCATAGGCGGCGATCTGCCTTTTAGCCACAAGATGGCAGTAGAGAAACACAGAATTCAGCTAGCAGCCAACCCTTCTCCAGTTTCCATCAGCCGAAAGTGTCACACATCTGCCCGGCATCTGCCTTGCTCTTCAGACAAAGGTGGGTGCGGTACTGGCATTTTGAAACCATTTTCACTTCTGGAACAAAGCTTGCCTGCAAATTATATTTTTGCAAAAATGCTGAGAATACTTTCCTCAAGAATTTTAGCCCCTTAATCAGGGAATCAAGCAGGGTTAGAACAGGTTTAACTCTGAAGGCTGGCCGCACTCCACTTAAAGCCACATTCTCTCCCATGGAGACAAGATTATTCTTATAATCTAGCCTTTGACGACCTCCAGATGTTATCGACTACCATTGCCAGCATTCCGCAGCATTGGCTATGCAGGCTGAGGCTGATGGGTGTCAAATACATCCGTAGTACACCAGGCTGGAGAAGGCTCTTTCAATCTCTTGCAAGACCAGCTGAAGGAAAAGCACTCTGCACGTGCTCAGAGTCACCCTTGCAATTACTACTGCTTCCTAGTTTTTAGGGTTGAGGCCCATCAGCCTAAAAACCACTCTCGGACCAAAAACATCCTCGAAACCCCATCCCATGACCAGCACAATACTTTATCTAGATAAAAAAAGGCATTCTGGACATGCTCAAAGGGCACTGCAACTGTGACTCTGTATGTACAGTGTACGCAATGCATCAAAAGGAAACATGTGATTATACAGTGGGTACAACTACGCAGAAAGAGCAACACTATAACGCACTCATTATGGGAAGGATGGCCCAGTTGCTGTGGCTAGCAGAATGATGGTCTCCAAATTGCAGCTCATTTATTGCTTCTTCAAAGTGTCCTCAAAGCCAAATTGGAAGCCTCTGAAGCAACCTGCTCATTCGTGGAGGCAGCTGAGGGTATTCTCTGTGCCCCAACAGGCTCTTCTAAGCCACTCAACCAACATGACGTGTCCAAAGAGGTTGCTAAGGGTTTCCTTTTAACATCCTCACCAGGACTATCGTGGGCGATGCAGTTGCGTCTTTTAGCTACTGTCTGTGTCCAAACAGCACTTCAGTACACACTCAAGAGCCAAGTATGCGTGGGACATCCACATAAAAGAGTTTAATTATCATTACTCCCCTGCACTGATGGCCTGCCTTTCTTTCTCCTGCAAGGAATCCGAAGCAGTTTACAAGACTCTCCTCCTCCCCATTTTATCCTCACAACAACAGCCCTGTGAGGGAGGCTGGACTGAGAGTCTGTGGCTGGCCCAAAGTCACCCAGCGGGCTCCATGGCCAAGCAGGGGGCAGAACCCAAAGCTCCACAGGGCCACACTGCAGTTCAAGAACTGGAGCATGTGGCACACCCTGGGCTGGCACAGGACTGCCTGCCACTTGAGCTGGGACGACACGCCACCGCGTCCCCTTCATGGCTGCGGCCACCGAGGGAGATCAGCTCTTGCTGCGGCGGCACCGTCCTGCTGGGCCCGGAGTGCAAGCCACCTCCGCTGCCTGGAGGAGGCGCAAGCTCCACCACACGCCGCCGCTGGGGCAGGGGGAAGCCGGGTGCCGGTGCAAGCCCTTCCTGAGCAGGGGGAGTGACCTGAGCTGCAGGACATGGAAATGCGGGGGGGGGGCTGCCACTGGTGGGAGGAGGGCAAGTGCAAGCACACGGGCCCCACTTCTGGAGGGCGGGGGGGGGGGGGGCAGGGGCACCACAGGTCCTTTTCCAGGGCAGCGCCTTGGAGGAGAGCTGATCCCAGGGACTGCCTGTGGCATGCGCTAATCAACAGCGCATCCCTGGCAACGGATAAGGACTCCAGCTGCTGCCCCTAAATCCTGAACACCTGAGTTCCACCCACGGGGGTTTAAGTGGTAGTGGAGCTGGGGCAGCTTTAGGATCTGCCACGTGGCTGCCTGATTTTCCGCCTGAGGTGGGGCGTCACCCTGTTTCAGGGAAGGGCTGTCCCTGCGCAGAAGGCAACGGACCTCAGACACCCACAGATTTCTTTCCATGAAAGAATTCTTCCTTGCAAAAAGCCCACGACATATCATTGGTTCATACAGGAATCTCTTACACACAAACACGTTTGCTTGCTCTCTGGGATTGTATCCTGTCTTTCGACCAGAACTGAAACTCAAGATGGCTCACACTTGCTAATGGAACTGGATTTTAAAAGGAAAAAAGAAAAGAAATGCATTGACTTTTAAAATACAGTTTCAAAACACAGTGAAGGAAATAAATGCCTTCTGTGATTTCATCCTACAGGGGACATAGATCAGAGTTTCCATGGTCAAAATACCTACATCCAGAAGAGGGGCTCTCAGAATATCTAGTGGGCTTGAGAAGGGTAAATGAATCAGGGAACAACAAATATCAATACTCCATCTTAATCCTCAAGAATTAATCTAACTTCTCCCCAGCCTGGCACCCTCCAGAATGTGCTATGTCAGGATCGGCAGAGCAGTTCCCCCAGTGGCCTGATAGAGAAGGCAGCTAGGCTCACCCTGCAAGTACTTGCAGAATTAGCAGCAGAACTGTAGGTGCTTGCAGGATTAGGTCCAATGCAATCATGCAAACCAGCTGAGAGCCACAGGAGGCTCTATAAAAGACTTCCCCAGTCTCCCTCCTTTGTTACAGCAATATAGATGCTTGTGGTGGCTCTTTGTGTATCTGGTTTGGTGGCTGCTGCTGCTGCTGCTGCTGCTGCTGCTGCTGCTGCTGCTGCTGCTGCTGTGTCTTTGTTCATGTCTTCACTCTCGCCTGTTCCAGACTTTGCTTTCCTCTCCAGTCCTGTCGTGCCTTTGCCAATATCTGACCTGGACTTCTTCCAGACTCTGCCTTCACCTCTGGTCCTGCTGTGTCTCACCCAGTGCCTGACCCTTGCCTGAGAACCCTCTTCCACCCCTGTCATTCTGGCCTGGTGTTCCACATAAGTATTTGTTTATTTGATACCCCACCTTTCTCCCATTGTGGAACTCGGGATGGTTATGTATTGCTCCCAGGTGGTCTCCCCTCCAAGCTTAGACCAGGTCCAAGCCAGCTTAGCTTCCGCATGGTGGATGCCTAATGTGCCTCCAGACCACACTCTGTGCCAGTTGAGGATGCCCGCTGCTTCTGTCCTAGCGCTGGTGGGGTGGACTACATGGCTAGGTGAGAATGGTGGGTGTTGCAGTCCCGTATGTCCAGCGGGCATCAGATTAGGCAATCCTGAGTTAGTCCATAGCTATGCTGCTGAAGTCCCAAGAAAGGGGAAGAACACGAAAGTTGTGTGACCTTTAGAAAAAGAAGAAAGCAATAGACAGGCAGAACCATAGAAGGAAAGAAATCCAGGTTCCCTGCTCGATGCCTGCTGTAGTACTTCCAGCAGAAGACGGCTCACTTCCTCCCAAGGGAGGCTGTTCCACCATCAAGCAGCCCTGACAATGAGGATGCTATTCTGGACATGTAGCTGAAAAACGCTGCCTCAAATCCCCGTTCCTTTGTTCAGGTTCAATGCACCAGAGCAACAAGCAGCAGGTGGACGAGAAGTGCATGTGGCGCCTAATGCAATTGTGCCATATGCCCAGCCAGCGTCTCAGCACACTGGTGTGCGTCAAAGCTTGCATGCGAAGTTGGAAAACAGCGCTAACCCCTTATTTTCCTGCACAGAAATGACCACTTCCAGAAGCGTCTTTAAAACAAAGGCGACGTTGTGATCTATTTCTGCAAGAGCAGCCAACACTTATTTTGCCTTCGCCTGCACAGCGGCAGGCACCTGTGACGGACACGCACAGCAGATCCGTGGTTTGTTATCCAGAGAGCGGTCGTGGTGTGGGGGCTGGAGGGGCAGGCCAGGCCTGTGAAGATCTGGGCTCAATTCCTTGCCAGGTAACTTCTGACCAGTCGCTTGCTCTCTCAGCACAACCCAAATAACAAGGTTGCCATCTGTGCTGTCCTGAATTCCTTGGAAAAGAGGAGGGGGAAAGAGGCAGTGTGCACCTACTCAAGCAATCCTAAATGACTGGCAAATCCTAGTTTACAATCCCCCCAAACTTGCAGCCAAGAGACCACGGTGGCCTTACCTTTTCCCAAAGCTGATCTTCTCCTTTCCTTCCCTTCTCAGCCTGTCTGTCCAGCTCTGGGGCTGTTCAGGCAATCCCAGCTTCTCTCCACATTCCCCGAAGGCAGATGGTCTGTTTCGGAGTAGAGACTTATCGGTTGGGTGTGTCCCTTTTTAGCACGATGGAGAGTCCGGACATGTGGCTGGAGGGAGCATCTATTCCCTGGACCACAAACCATTGCTCAATGTTTTCCTAGCTGCGTGCAGAGAGCTGGCACAGGGGGCCACTGCTCTGGGCAAATTTAACCCATTCACCTCTTGGCCAAACAGCGGCAGTGTTTCCTGCCGCTGCACTGGTGTTTCTCGTAATCCACCTCAGAAACATGATGTCAGTAGATGG